CCCGGGAGGGGAGGGGGAGACCGGACGGGGGACGGAGCGCCCCAGGCAGGCGTAAGAGGAGAAAGGAGCCGGGCGCGGGGGCCTGCTGGGGAGGGAGGCCTGGCTGCGCCCGGGACCACGCTGCAGGGCAGGGGAACCGAACGCTAGCTGCCTGTGCTGGCTGCCCTTTCTCCTGAAGGGCGCCTGGGCTTATACGTGGACGGATAAAGCTGCCCGGCGTTTCAGCACAGCTGTCAAGTGCTTTCCAAAGCACCCAGCAGGATACTCGGTCAGTCCCAGATTCAAATCAGCGGGAGCGGACAACAGCGATCCTGGGTCTGGCCAGACCAAGCAGCCTAGTCCAGCAGCCATGGCTCTCTAATTAGCAGACAGGAGTTCAGAAGGTTGACGCTCCTCACGATGCTGCCTGGCCCTGTGGTACGCTCCGACAGACACCCCTTCTGCCCCCGCTCCTTTCTCTGCTTATAAGGCTGTGAAACAGCTGGACAGCTGGGGAACCAGAACTAACGAGCAGAGAGAAGCCATCGGTGGGGGAGGGCTGGCACGGCTCAGTGGAGGAGGTGGTGGTACCGGGCACGCTGACGGAGCTCTGTGGGGAAGGGCTTGACACGGCTAACTGAAGGAGCCATCAGAAGCGTGGGATCAGCATGGCAGGAATGAGACTACTCACACTTCCCAGTTCCCAGCGTATCAACCTTTGGCTCCTTGGAAACCACCCACTTTCTTCCCTGCCCCTGCAAACAGGATGCTCCTCTCTGGGGCAGGGACTTCCGGTGGTTACCAGTTCTCAGAGTAACAGTGCAGCATCACCGCTACAGGGCTCTGAGCGCTTCACAGACTCCGAGCAGTATTTCTAACCCACGTGCTCCTCCCATCCCAGACAAGCCCAAGAATATCCAGAACTTCCAGGTTTCTGCACGTGGCTCTGGCCCACTGACTTTCTTGAGTTGCCAAGATCCAGAAACTCAGAACCAAAGAAAGATGGATCTTTGCTGGTCTCTTATGATCAAACGGAAGGATGCACGTTTTAACAAACACACCAAAGGCAGCAGGAGAGCTAGGCAGCCATGGGAACCAGCTAATTTAAGTTCCCCCAGAGGGACACCTAGAGAGAGGGGCACGTTTAAATGGAAGGCAGGCTTTCAGATTGTATACTCACAGCCTTCAGTCTCATCTGTGGCACCACAGAACCGCTGGCCTCTCACCCACAGTACCTCAGCTTTGGTGCAGGGTTTGGTCATCTCTGCAGTCTGCGCTATCTGGCTCCGCAGCCAGCTTGTGCTCTGCGGCTGGAGGCAATGCTGCATCTTGTAGTGTTCGTGGTAAGGAACGCTCTGGCCTCGGACTGAGAGGGAGCCCAAGGTGGTAGGATCAAAGCCCTGTCTGGCCGGCAGCTGGGCCTTGGCTGTAGGCTTGCGTGTGATCTGCTGTCCTGAAGCCCGGACTGTACCTCCCAGGAATGAGAGGGGGATGAGCGTCATTAAACCGTGGGCCTCCTGTCCCCTGAACGTATCCTGAATGAATTGCGGCTGGAAGGAAAGAAAGCAGTCATGGCTTAGTCCTGGAAGCCCTGTCAAGAGACAGGAAGGAAAAGTGTTCTCTAATCAGCTACAGGTACTCATTAACATATGTCCCTGCTGCATTTTCTCCCCCTAACTAATCATTCCACAATCACAGTCTTAGATTCAAGTCATCTGAGGCCAAAGGGCATCCCTGCAATTGCCTGTTTGATCTGCCTACAACAGTGCTCAGAGAGTCCCATGGTCTGCCAATCACATGTCTGAGCTGGAGCAGGGTTTGTGGAAAGGAACACCAGATCTGGCTGGAAAGAGTCCTGTGATGAAAAATCTGACCCGTTCCCAGATAAGTCTTCACTCTTGAAAAATTCACCCAAGTTTTAGTTTGTCGTTTCAGGTTCCATTCTGCTTTGTCTGGTAGAATAAAAGGCAGTTACTATCAGTTCTTACAGAACAATCAAACCACATCTTAGACTTCTTTTTGTTAAATTAAATGGATTAATTCCAATTTCTAGTGAAGGACGAGAAAACTCCTAGGTCCTGAGTAATTCCTGCAACTCCTGTGTCTGAGTTTCTCAGCATCCTTCTGAGGTTTGTTATCCTTGGGCCTTTCTGGAAGCAGTCCGTGCCAGTGGAAGAGGCACTGGCCCTTGCAAGGTTCTTCATTATTTGCTGGCCCAGAACTAGCGTTTCCTCAACATAGGAGGTTCAGCTTCAGGGCTCCGAAGCAACCCTTAAAGCCTTACAGAGTCCACAGATGACAAACTGCTGGCTTCCTCATCATCTGATTTTAGACCAGTAGCACTGGTAGCCTGGTTTTGGAATTGGCTTGGTAGCCAAGAACCCAGTTTGAGACAATCAAACACATCTCCTTAATTTTAAGTGCAATCCTTTGTGAAGCTCAGCATTCTTTGGCTGTGCACCTTGTGAGAATCTACGATAGGGCAGCAGTACCTTTACCACAGCAAAACCAAGGGCCTAGACTCCAATATGCTCTTGCAGAGTGATGATGAGTCTGCAGGGGAAGCCCTGTACCAAGGGCTGAGTCCTACGGTGTTTTAAGAGCATGCGTTAATTTAGCGTTAGAAAACATGCAGTGGATTGATCATCCTCCCTATAAGGGGGCCGACATTATGTAAAAAGCAAGGGGTGTAGGGACAGGCATCGTTTACAGTGCAGAAGTCACTGAAGTTTTTTTTTGGTTTTTTTTGTTTGTTTTTTGTTTTTAAGCTATCCCTATGCTTCCCTTCAGTCCCTCTGTGTTCCTTCACCATGCTCCTTGCATGTTAGTGCTCCTAGCTGCTAAAAGCTTATCCAGGAATTCACTTTATTTATCTAGAAGAATCACATTACTGCACCAAAGAAGCAGGCTGCACTAAACTGCATGCAAGGGACAGCAGTATCCAAAAGGCAATACTGTTGTAGGGGGAGCTAGAAGAATCACATTACTGCACCGAAGAAGCAGGCTACACTAAGCTGCATGCAAGGGACAGCAGTGTCCAAAAGGCAATACTGTTGTAGGGGGAAAAAAAAAAAAGGTGCCCCTGCAGTCTGTTCTTTGCAATGCCAGTGAGAAGGATCTTCCTGGGGAAGGATGCCCAGGGACTCTTACGCAGGCAACTGGCCTGCCCCAGGGTGCCCTTTTCAAATGAGAAAAAACATTACCTAACCATACAAAAACCCAAGGACCTAGAGTCTACGCTGGATGCGTAGACCAAAGATGCTCAATGCCCATGATGCATTCCTCTTGCTCCTACTGTGAATGGCTGTCTCCTATGGTGGCCTTGCAGAACGGATCCGAGCAATCTTCTGTTACCTGGTTCTTGGAGACAACAGTGCAGGAGCTGTGGTTGTCCATTGATCTATGAATCGTGGGGATCAGCCAGGAGAGCTGATCTATGATGCCTAGACCTCGGATGAGGTTCTCACGCTGCAGAAGAGCCTTTACTCTTTTCTTCTCCTCCTTTTCCACAATATCCTGGGGTTGCATAGAGTCATACGGCACGTGCTGCATCTTAGGAAAGAAACACCTGTATTATAGCAGAGTTGAAGCCACAGGTAAGGTACAAGAGAGAAAAAGCTACAGACTGCATTAGAGAGGCCTAGAGAGAATTAGAGACATCAAGGTGGAGTGGGAAGAAGGTCCCAGTGGGAGGCACAACCGGGAAAGGGCAGCACTGCTGATAGCTTGTGCGGGGAGGCACTTGCAGTCAACTATTCCAACCTCACGAAGGGGAATTCAACCTTGTAATTCTGTTCCTCAGGAGATACCCATGGCCCAGCACTGTTCGTGGAGCCACATTATTGCCTTGGAGAGCCCCATGGACCAGCACTGAGGATGAGAACAAGGTACCTTTCTGTCCCACATCCTGGTGCTTCTGTAGATGAGCTGGGCTGTAGGAGCTCTGTTTTTGTTATGGATCTGGGATTTGTCTCCAGCTGATTCTCCCTGCAGGGTTTCTTTTCTTTCCTTTTTCTTCTTCCCAGTAAGAACTTCCCACTCTTCTTTCTTCAAGCGAATTTCCTCCAGTTGCTGCCTGCCATGAAACAACAGTCTTGGTCACTGGTTCAATAAGAGGCATTAATAGCAAAAGGCTGCAAAGAGAGTTCAGTCCAAGGACATTATACTACAGTCAGAAGTTTTGTAGTGAACAGAGACCATAATGGAAGTGCGCCAAGAAATGGGCTGGGAGCGCTTTTAAAGGAGATTCTTACCTCTGTCAGAAACGTCCTTGAATTAGATTATGCCTGCTACAAGGGCGGAGAACATATGCAACAGACTGCTTCCAGAATCCAAAAGTCAATGGAATATTGCATTTGCCTCTCAAAGATACATGCTAAAGGAAGTTCTTTTGCCATGCTGACAGAGCACAGGCAGACTCCCCTGCTTCCAGCTCTCACCATCTTTCTTATATCTCTTAAGCAACAGGGTCATTTCCAAGAAAGGATCAGAAGTGAGCACTATCTATGTCATCCCTGTAAGGCGTGGATTTTCCATAGGAGCACTATACCTGGCACACTGCTCTCGTGCCCTGGATGCCACTGTTTCCTGGAAGAGGGAGCCACTTTGCTTGAAAAATGGTTCATACTTGTCTGTTCCACGTGCTGGGTAAATGCGCCGGTAACCTCCCAGGTGAGAGTTCTCATACTTCTCTGCCTGAGCCAGCCAGGCAGCCTGGTTGCTCTCTAACTCCTTGCGTCTGCAAACCGAGAGTAAGCACAGGCAGAGAAGCTGTGATAGGAGATTCCAGGTGTTGTACTATCTGATAAATAAAGGGCCTAGCTAGCATTTTCCCCCTTTCCTTCTCCATTTGGGAGCCTGTTCCACATAGGTTCGCTGCAGGCAAACAATTCTCCACACTTCATCCTCTACCTATAGGAGATTCTCAGATCTCTCCCTTGCTGTGCAGGCTCACACCCTGCCCCTCAGCCTTCTCACCGAACTAAACCAGTTACAAGAAAACTTCAGCTGAAAGCTGCTAAAAGAAGGAGCGTCTGCCGCTACTGCTTTCAACTGGGAGCTCTCCAGGCAAGCCTGGAGCAGTTGAGGCTGCACAGGCATGCAGAGCACAGGGCTAACATATTCAACTTCTCTAGCCTGTAGTTATCTCAGGCTTCTTAATGGAAATGGGAGCTGGAGTGAGTTCCTGCCTCACCCTGTGTGGCAGGGAAAGCCCGGACAGCAGGCTCATATAAAATGGCCTCCAGAGGTCATGTGGATTAATTAATCATGAAAGGATATGCAGACAAAGAAGGGTGGGAAAACCCTCAATCCTGGGAAAGTAACCCTGCTTTGGAGGAAGTCCATGCCCCCCCCTCCCCCCGCCCCCCGGGGTGCTTTTGCTCCCAGAAGCAGTGCTACAGTCTGTCCAGCGAGCGTCACTGCGAGCCCAGGAATGCTGGTGCAGCTTGTCAGCATTAGATGACATGACAAGCAGGCACAGCTCCATGGGGGAGGCAGCAAAGACTCTGTACAGGCCCTGGTCCAAGAGTCTTTGGAGTCTCAGATCTAGCACCCAGAAACCAGTCCTGACTCTTCTGTCTAGGATGCGGATGACTTGGGCTACCTCTTCTCAGAAGTTATATAGTGCCATGGCCTCTGGGAGTTTTAATCTGAAGTGAAACAGCCTTTGGTTTTATCCTGCTTTGCCATGCCCCATCTTCTCTCACCTCCTGGCCTGCAGGCTCCTGCCTGCAGCACTATGGGGAAGAGCAGTACCTGGATACACGGGCAGTCTGATGATGGGCCTGGAGGAGTCGCTCCTTTACCCGCTGCTTGTCTTCCTCCAGCACCTTCCTTTTGTCACAGGCATGCACATTTATCAGGTTGATGGTATCACAGAGAAGAGCATCCTTCACTTCACGGTCCAGGCGTGAGTCTGTGGTGAAGCTGGGAGAGTGATTCACCTGCCAAAACAAGGGGCTGATCTAACCTGGCAACGTCCAGCTCCCAGAACGTGCTGCCAGCAGCAAGATCTCTGGCCCCAACCTGCTCCACCTCACACTTCCCTTAACGTTCTTCCCTGTAACAACCACAGAAAGCTGAAGGCGGTGGCCGGTTCTACAAGAGTAGGGCAGCTATCGTAAGTTCAGAATGCTGTCACAGGTCGAGTCCTAGGGCTCAGGAAAACTCCCTGCTGTTAGCTGTTAGAGAGGGTATAAAGGGAACAGGTTCTAAGATCGGATGAGCTAAGGTTGCTTAGCCTATAGTAAGTAGGTTGCTTGGCCGCTTGCCTTCAGAGCCTGTTTAGTTTAGTGAACAAGGTGGCTCATTTTAATTAACCTTAAATAAATTCTATTCATCCCACAACCCTTTGTTGCAGTGCTTCCCACAGACAAGCAAGCTCTCGGCTATCTGCTGCTTCCAGAGCAGTTCCAGCGCAGCAGAATTCTTCCTCACCTCTAGCAGCCACGGTTTCAACTTTCTATCGAGCAAAATATCAAAACCCAGTATCTCAAAGCAGGCACAGCCAGTAGTGTGGTTAGGAAAGCAGCTTTGGTAATTGTGCTTCACAACAGGGTGAGCTGAAATAAGGGTCTTTATAACAATATCTTCAATATCTTCCCAGAGTTTCTTTGTGTTGTAGCTGTTATCCATCATCCAGGCATTCAGAGTGGACAGTTTCCTGCGTGGAGGACAGGAGATGATAAGAGCTGACCTATGATACCACGTTTCCCCCAAGAAAGAAGGAAGTAAACCAGTGTCCCAAATGCAGCTTTCCTGCAGGATGTGCACAAGTAGTTGTGGCACCTGGACAAGACAATACCTCTTACTGCCCACTGTGTCATCCCGGACGAAGTTTTCGTTATGTTTATTGATAGCGTAATTGGTCAAATGCATGCAGATATCATCCTGAGAGAGGAACCGCAAGAGACCTTCATTTATTCTTAACCTCAGAGTGCAAACAGAAACAGCCCCAGAGTCCCATTAGCACTAATCTAGCCACTAACTTCACCCAGTTCTGCCTCTTCTCTTTGGCAGCGGCTGGCAGCAAGGAGTTGATTATGCTGGCGATTCTCTCTAGCCAAAAGTTGGCGCTGACAGAGCTTTACCCCTTCCGTACCTTCCATCCTAATCTCTGAGTGAGAGCACAGGAGTCAGCTCCGCAAATGCCATTCTGGCTATGGCCTCACCAACAAACAAGGGAGTCCTCAGGACAGAAGCCGCAGCAAATTTCTGCAAATTCATCTTTTTCCTTTATCCATCGAAAGCAGAAGAGCCCTCTGAGACATATATACAGTGAAGCGAAGGAGGGCATATAAATAGGCAGCCCTGGGGTAAAAGGGCCGACAGGCAGAAGCAGAAGCCTAGGGTATCTCCCGCCAGACACTGTAACAAGCGATCAGAATGCAGGGATCTAACGCTAAAGTCCATCTTTGTGAAGGACTTTATAGCGTACAGACCCCTATTAGGAGAAGGGCACGGGCGCAGTCCGCACCCTTCTTTCCCAGTTTCCCTCCCTGGCTCTCCTAGCCTGTTCCACTACCACTAGATAATCCCCAGCTTCCTCTTCTGATTGAAGCAGGGAGGCACGACAAGGAGCGGCGCAGACTCAGGAAAGCTCGTAAAGGGGAAAAGCAGTAGCAGCGTTGCCCAGAGATCCTGTGGAATCTCTATCCTTGGAGGTTTTCAAGACCCAACTGAACAAAACCCTGAGCAACCTGATCCGAATTCAATGTTGACCCTGTTTTGAGCAGGAGGTTGGACTAGAGACCTTCCAAAGTTCCTTCCAGTCCAAACAACTCTATGATTCTGTGGTAACGCCAGTAAACAGCCCAAACGTGGGACCTGGAAGTAGATCTCCTTCAAATACTCCTGAAATACTTTCTGTGAGGAGAAGGTACGGAGAGAAGGGAAAATAAGAAAGAAGAGAGCTGGGAACCCACCAGCCCCTGCCTTTCCAGGGTCTGGAACTCCCCTAGAACATAACGGTGGCTAAAACCTATGAATACTATGCGAGTTTCATGGAAACTTCCCTTTTTTACCAGGTTGCTGCTGCTGGGCTCGATGTACCTCATGGTGGCAAACCGGGCCAGACCCTCCTTGTAGACAAAAATCTTCAGCGGGTCACAGGATGTGACCAGCACATAGATACGCATGTCAAATTTAAAGCCATCTATAAGGAAAGGCTGTGAGACAAAAGGCAGAAGCAGGCATAAGATAAGGAAACGTTGCTAGGTGTGCTGCTGACTCCTTTAGGTTGGCTACTCTATCTGTATTGCATGTGCCACTTCTTGGCAGCTCAGTTGTGAGGAGAAATGCAAGCTTTCACTATGGCTCTGCTATGTCGCAGCCATACTGGTGCCCCTGGCTAAGTCTGGAAGGAGGAGGACAAAGGAGACAAGGAGGATGCGGTTAGGAAGTTGGAATCTTCCACCGACATTGCAAGACAGTCCCCGTTACCTTAGAGATATACTGCTGACAAATCATACGCTCTCCATGCTTGATCTCCTTCGGGTTACGTGTTATGAAGATACCTCTCCCTTGGCAGCCGCTGTCTGGCTTGCAGATGAACGTTCTATTTTTCCTCACACGACTATAGGCCTGGAAATCCCCATAGCTATACAATGAAAGAGTGACTGTTAAAAGCTGAACCTGAACTCTCATAGCATCTAGATACTCAAACTATGGTGCTGTGGGCCAGTCCAGACTAAACTTTTACAGCAGAGGAATAGTTTTGCACAGCTATTCCTGATTTACGTCGGTTATAAATCGATCCTTTTGCAACCTGACAAAGACCTCCAGGTTCCAACGCTTAGTTGCACGCATCTCCACCTCTGCTAGGAGGTTCATAAGAAATGGTCACCACTGTTCATTCAGGGGCCAGTAAGATTTTGGCTCTGCTGCTGTAGAGAGACCAGGAGAAAATAAACAAGCCCTGGCTACAAAGGAGGAAGAAGTTGCAAGTTTTTAGACCCGCTTTCATTCTGGCTCATCAGCCAACAGACAAGAGGTCACAGTCAGGACGTTCCAACCAGGGTGCAAAGGCTCACAGTTTAAGCACACACATCACATTAGATGGCTGGTCTTCAAAAGCAGCCCCACTGAGAGTGCTTTGAAGAGTCACACCCATATGCCTATTTATTATTTTGCTGTAGAGGGAGGAGCACTGTCTCCGTCTTGGGCATCACGTGTAGGAAAAGAGGTAGTCGAACAGGACAAATTCCAGAAGACAGTGCCAAGAGGAATCAAAGTCCAGGAAATGTGGCCTGGAAAGAAAGAAGTAGGTCTGTTTTCTCCAGAAATGAGAAGATTGAGAGGACACGTGACAACAGCCTTCCAATACACAACCCGTTATTGGCAAAACACAGCAAACCACTGTTCTACAAGGCCCGTGTAAATGGGAGAAGTACTAGGGTGCTGATATTTCAGCACAGATGCTTCAGGTCAGATATTAAGAAAATCCTTCCAACCAGAAGGCGAGTTTCACTGTAGACCAGGTTATGAAAGCCCTTCTTGGAGGTTTTCAGGAAATGGTAAGAAAAAAAATCCGTAGAGAACGTCTAAGAATAGATCTCGTGTCTCCTTACAACCAGCTGAACTTAGAGTGCTCTTTCGTCTCTTCCAGCTCTACATTGCTAACATTGTTTGTCTGTATATGATCAGAGAAGCCAGACCTTCTGCCCCAAAGCTTAAATAACTTGGTGACAGCTTACATATAACTGCGTATGTGTTTTGTTTAGCATAAGGGCCTGCACTGTCTCACTATCCTCCACCATCACACTGTATGCTCTATTGCAGCAGATGGCAGAAGTGCAAGGGGTTGGGAAGACAGCTGTTATAGTTAATGGTGTGAGACTGCCTCAAATCCCTGCACTGTTCCCTTCCTGGACAAGTAATAGGCATTGAACTCAGTCTGCACGGGAAGAAAGTCTCTCACAGTGTTCTGCAGTTACCTCTTCTGTTCACTATGGGCTGCAAAGAGACATTCCACAGAAACACAGATATTACATTTCCCATCTAGCCCATTGCCCTTTGGCTTTCAAGGTGGATCCGTCTCCCAGGATTTAGCCCCGTTCAGTCTGCAATCAGTCAAGTAACAAGGCATACGTTCTACGGGCTAATTCAACGTAATAAGAATTAAAGATGCGTGAAGCTAGAAACACGGCTAGAAACATCCCATTCAATTTCAGGGAAGGTTATGGAGGCCCAAGGCAAGATATGAAACCTCAGAGGGCTTCACCCCTGCCCACGGCCTGGCTGTCAGCTATCGTGGCTCCCACTTCCTAATTTCAACCCCCCTGTTGACTGTTGCATTAATGTGTATAACTCACTCGGCTGGCAGGCACCAAGTACGGGGAAAAATATCGTACTCCTTGGGGAAGAGCTTGAGCATGCGGTTAAGATTGCGAGCCAACAAGTCCTTACGGCAGATCTCTGTCATGCCTGGAAAATGGTTGATTTTCTGAAACAGGTGCAAAAGAAAAACAGAATCAGCAAAGGAACAGCAGTGGTAATCCTCAAGACCCAAGGAAAGCTAGTATATGGAGAAACAAACAAGCAGAACAGGAACTTGGGCCTGTGGTTGCCTTGAAAGTCTGCTGAGAAATAGATTATGCTAGAACTGCTTTATCTGAACTTCATCAGCATGATTTATCTGTTCATTCCATCTCAGCCCTGCAGCTCTCCCTTCCTAGAATATCGCAGTTTGAGGAAGGGAGCAGCGTGTGAGCAAGAACCATTTATTTCATACTAAATTAAAGGGGTTGGCAGCTTTCCAATTCACTCTACTAACTGCCAAACTGTGGCTGATGGCACCATATCAGAGACATAAATGAGGTAAAGGCTTGTGAACCTATGCACTCTCAAACTGATGAGAAGGGGGTACAGGTGCTAATTTTGGACACTCGTTTCATTCTGTTCCACTAATGGCCCTCTGCCTCCATCCTCCTTTTCTGAGCTAGGCACCCTTTCCACAGAGGGGTATTTACCTGAAACCGTTTCATTTCCATGACACGCTCCAGAGAGACTGAGTAGTCAGTCCAATATATTGTCCAGTCCTCATTTTCTCCCACTTCTTTCAGCCCACAGCTTTGTGCAGCACGCCTCACTGTACCAAAAAAAGTGTATGAGAAGGGACACCTCTGGACCAAGCAGAAGGTATAAACCCCACTGATTGTTAAATCTCCAAAGCAAACAGGCACAGGGCTATGGAACGAACCAGAAATCCGCTTTCGCTCTCAAAGATGACAAGATATTGGTAGGACCCTTAAGGAAGCATCAGAAACACGAGCTTTACCTGGCTAAACTCACCACAGCCTCTGACTGCAGGCATACTGGGAACTATCAGCCCTGTAAGTCCACTTGCCTTGGGGTCCAAGAGCACTTCTGGAACTACAGCAGGCTTGAATCCGCTATGGGCCTGACACCACACAGTCAGATACAAATCTTTTGAAGGTATTAGTTTCATCTTTAAAATCGAAAACTATTTGGCAGCAGAATACACAAGCTTTTGGAGTAGAAGGGTGTTACCGGGACGATTATAGCTAGTGCCAATTCTGAACTTGGCCTCTTACAGAGCTGGGAAGGGGATGAAGGAAACACACATTCTATGAAATTGGAGTAGGTCAGCAAGAAAACACAAAAAGGGCAGCTTGAAGCCAGAAGCCTCCGTCTTCCTAGGCACCTACAAACAGGTGGCCATACCTGAATAAATAATAGTTGGCTTTTTATTGATACCTGAGCGCTTCTCCCAGTAACACAGTCTTGCTGCCAGGCGTTGGCAATAGCCCCGATACATGTTCTCGACTGATCAGCACAGCCTGCTAGTTCTGGTAAGAGCGGGCCAGGGCACCAGAGCTCTGGAGGTGTGAATGAAATGGGCTGGGCTCCTATGGAGCTCACACTGCCATACCATCTCCGCTTGTAGATTCTTACCCCCTTGCCATCACCAGACTGTTTGAGCATGGCCCTGAGTGAAACATGCAGTGCCAGCTACTCTGTTTAAAAACAGTATTCTTTGCACAGCTGACAAGGCTGTGACCTTCAATAAAGCAAATGTGGCTGTAACGCTAGAATAATTGTCATTAGCAAACTGACTAATAACATCCATCAGATGCTACAAGCCCGTTCTCTCATGATACATCTCACGGTAGACAAGGAAGGGTAAGACAGGAGAGTGAAAACAGCTGCCTAGAGCATGTCACTGGAGAAGAATGGCAAGAGAGATTCAAGGTACCTATCCAGCCTGTTCCACGCCCTGTTCCAAGTTAAATACGTTTATACTTCTCAGTTCATTTTCTCGAGCACAGGTACCAGTCTTGCATTATGATTGCCCCCGGCCAAACCTTTCTTACCAATTGTAATGGATATTCTGGCTATGGCAAAAAGAACACTGCTTCTTAACCTGGAGAGAAACCTCTCCGTATTAGTGCTCAGGTGCCAGTGAGTAGGGGGAGGTTTGCAGTACTGTTGCATATTTTGTATCTCTTTAAACCAGAGACCACCTCAGTCCAAAGTGTGGTCAACTGCTTACTTTTCACAGGGGCCCAAGTCACTTACAAATAATAAATACATAAAACAAAAGCCGTTGCACAGTGAAAATTCAATTATCAGCACCCTTCACTGAGTGAACAGGCATTTCAAAGAGCTTGCTGTAGGTGGGCCTGATCTGAAGGGGTACCCTGTAATACTGTGGACTTACCGCTGTCGTACTTGCAGCTGGTCAAATTGATGGATGCAACACTGGAATTGAAAGAGATGGTAAGACAGCTTCAGTGGGGCAACCAAGATCCCATTCTGGGAACAAGCAGTCGGAAAGGAGACAACCGTGTACCTGCATACATGTATGTAACTGTCAATCCACAGAGCCACTCAGCAAACCTGATCTGGTCCCAACATAGGCTCAGGAAGCCATGGCAAATAGGAGGGCCCGAACCTGGGTCCTACCATTGACACTTCAAGCTTAGAATCATAGGGACAATTTAAGGGAAACGGCATTTCTTCTCCAATTTAAAAAGTCATCGAAAAGCCTCAGTGAGGCTCAGGACCAGAGGGGCCCAGCTATCCATTACTCGCCTTAGTCAGAGCCGCTGGTTTCAGAGGACTGAGTCTCACCCTTGCTAGCGGGCAGCTGAGACAGAGCACAGGCCTCAGCCGCTTCTGCTTTCTGATATGAACAAACGGAACTAACACAAGGCATATATACACATATACGTTTTATGAGAACACGCGCAGCCCAGCCTTTTGTGCCTGGGAGCAGCGCTGCCTGACAGAGAGAACGTTCCCGCAGGAACTCCCCAACTGGGCCCTGCAGAGGGGCAGCAACGGAGGGGAATCAACGAGCAGGTCTGCACACGAACATATGTGTGTGTATGTCCGTGAACGTAAGTACGTGCGTGTGTGCGTGCACAAGAGCGTAGCTCGGCGGCTGGGCCGGGCCGGGCCTTCCCTGCGGGCTGCAGCCCACCCAGGCCCAGCAGAGGGGCAGCAACGGAGGGGAATCAACGAGCAGGTCTGCACACGAACATATGTGTGTGTATGTCCGTGAACGTAAGTACGTGCGTGTGTGCGTGCACAAGAGCGTAGCTCGGCGGCTGGGCCGGGCCGGGCCTTCCCTGCGGGCTGCAGCCCACCCAGGCCAAGGCCGGGGCCGCCTCCG